GTGCATGAAGTGTGTATTTCAGTGTGTGTGTGTGTGGAAAAAACAATTTCCCCCTAGGGGATCAATAAAGTATATCTTCTTCTTTTTCTTCTTTTACCTGTAATTGTCACTTGCAATCATATGCCTGGCTGCAAAAAACTCATCTCACTGGCAATGGCAAAAACAGCTTTTTTTTTTCTGTCTCGGTCTTGACTTTGTCTTTCTTGTTTGGACTCTGTCTTGACTTGGTCTCGAATAGTCCTGGTCTTGGACTCAAAGGTGGTCTTGAAGACAGCACCGGGGTAGTGCACAGTCTGGAAATGAGGGTGATGAAGGTTTGAGACTAAACCACAGCAGTCATGTTGTGTGCTGTAAAACCAAAAACAATGAGCCAATAGAGGCTAACACTCTCCATATAGAGCTGAGGGGACTGGCAGAGTCGGGTCATAATTCTCCTTCAATATTACACATAGTTATTTGATCCACTGCTAAAAATATTGATTAGTGCAGCTGTAAAAACTGGACAGAAATTGAAAATCATTAACTGAACACATCCATAACTGAAAATATAAGGATAGATTTATCTTAGTTTACACACATACTTACTGTAAATTGTATTCCAAATGTGTTTAGTTTGTTTAATAACAGCCAGCACAGAGAGTTTTGTATGTGATATCTTCATCTGAACTTTTAGATAGCTTGTAGGCTAGTTCTAAATCTGCACATTCTGCACATGGCGCAGCTGTAAGTTGAATGTATTTGATCAGTTGAATGCATTTGATATGTTTACTTCAGCAGCTCCCTCTCCCATTCTACTTTTGGCCTTTTAATCCTTACTTTCTTTTAGTTTTCTAACTACTTAGCACTGTATTTATTCTGTAAATAGGACTAACAGTGTAGGTAGTTTTAGTATAGATTTTTACCTAGTTATCTTAGTTTAGTTTTTTTAACAATGCACAGGAAAGTGGACACTGCATTTGAATTTCCCCAATGGGCGATCAATAAAGAAATATCTTATCTTATGCAGAGATAATAGTAGAACCAGGTAAAAGTCGTGATTTCCTGCTAATTCCCTCTGTTAAATATATGTTTTCTTAGTTAAGATATAAGATAAACATGTTGATTTTGTCCCCAACTGTATTGTTTTTCAAGGACAACCTGTGCTTGTAAAAGTGGCAACAGTGGTACGTATTCATCCTCTGCTGGGTGTCTTGATGACATTAGTTTATTTACATTAAACCTTTCCATCCGTGGTGGCACTAATCACAGTGTTGCAGGTGGTGCAGGGTCACAGCCATAATCATATGCCTGATCCCCTGTGGAGCGAATGGTGTGGAACTGTGTGGGCGAGCTGCTGTTCAGTATTCCAGTCACGGCTCGTTTGCATTGAGAGCTGTCCAGGCCAGTCCAGTATGATTAGTTGACCACAGTAGTGTGGAGTTGCACCCCATTATCATTAAACGGTGCCAGTCATGAAGTCATATACTCCTCCCTGTCTCTCTAATTACACCCCCACTGTTGGGCTCCGAGCAATTACTGCCTGCCGCCAGAACGCTTCATCGTTCATTAGGCACAGATAGTGGACACATCAACAACAAAAACAAAAGAAAAAGCGGAATTACTCCTATTTCTGCTAAACAACAAAATATCACCTAAGAAAAATTATTTTGATGTCATTATTTTGAGGAAACCAAAGGTGTACTTAGGAGAAAGGTGGTCAATTTATTGGAAAATGAATCACAGAGCCAAGAGAGGCCCAAGGCAGCAGCAGCACATTGATTAATATTTTTATATTAGTCTTGATATGTTGAGGACAGATGTGTCATGTCTTTGTATCCTGCCCTAGTTCAGTGTAATTCAGAATCCTGCCTTGTTCAATTATGGCCTTATTTTGTACATTCAGGAGGCTCACTGTATCCTCACTTTTTAAATAAAAAAAAAGCCTTGCCTTGCAGTCTAGGAAGACCTACAGCAACAATGTACCAACTGATCTTAATCCCAATACTTTATTTACTTTATTTTCATTAACAAACCACACTCATCTATACACATCCACGATGAGAGAAAGGCAGTAGTTTGGCCGTTTTTTTAACAGTTAAACTTTATTTACTTGCAGGCTCTTTTTTATAAATCCTAAGTATTTCCCTATAACTTAATTAAACTAAGTATACATGACAAAATAAGCAACGAAGTTTAGAAAAACTATATTGCATCTTTTTTGTTTCAAATTTATTACTTAATCAAACAACATAAGCAAACGACTCCACAACTGTTATCGGATTTTCAAATAAATATTGTCAAATTCTGACTGGTGCATGAACTGAATCTCACCCACTTCAACACAGTGAGAAGATCTCAGAGAAAATAAAACTGTTCTAACGTTGGGAGAAGATTTCATGTTGATATAGGAACTCAACACTCATAGTAATAAACTTAAAATGTAATGTTAACCATTTTATTGTCTATAATTAAACATACAATATGTAATTTCTGCCGCTGGGGGGGGTCTCTCAAATAAAAAATAAAAAAAATAACAAAGTAGCGCCGAATCATGGGAGTTGTTGTCTTCACCACCAATGTCGCCATTGCAGTCAGCTTCTCCTGGTTATTATTCCTCCGTGTTCATTGTTCAGGAGGTTTTTTCCACAGAGGTCTCCACCTCTCCAAAACAAGTGATTAAAATGATTAAAACCGGTAAAAACAGACAGAAAACGGAATAAAGCATTATCACCTTAAAAGCCCAACAAGCTGCTGCTAACGTTAGCTCAACTTGTTTCTCTGATAACTTAAGTTCCAGACATCCGATGACTACAGGTTAAAGTATATAGTTAAAAACAGCCACTATCTAAAAAGTGTATTGTAAAATGTGGCTTAAACTGGATAAAAAGTCAGTTTATAACAGCTTCTGGCAGACAAACGCAACGCATTCGCAAAGGGGATATGGTGCCATTGACAGGCAACTGGTGAAACACAGCGTTACCTGAATAAAATTACAGATTTCTCTGGGTTTGAACATTGTTGGAAAAAACTTGGGAGCACGCAACAAAACATATAACATAGGTCTAGTGTTTTTTTTAACATTTTAATACATAAATGTTACATATTATTTAAATATTGGGTTTTGATCATGGAAAGACAACAAAGTGCAGAAATAACCAACTAAAGGAAACACACAAGTGCATAAAAGCATCCATCAAAATCTTTTGTTTATTTCAGGCAACATTATGTGAAAATTCTCAGGTCTCCTGCAGTAAATTCACATGTAGGTGAATGCTCACAGTTTCCCAAATGTCTGATATGTGATTTATTAATTCAATAAGCCATTATATGCAATAATGAATGATTATCAATAGGAAATCAGCAATTAAGTAATAAGTATCATCTGTAATTATTATCCAGAGTCAAGAGCATTAGATATGACACAGTAATTTTTTATTAGACATTAAGTGATGCAGTGGAGGACAAAGGGAGAGAAAAACACACTGGACTGAAATTGATATTTAGGCTGAGCTATTGGTTTTATTCACATCAAGTTAACCATCTACCAGAAACAATCAGTCTGA